TTTATGAGAATAAATGGATTACATGGTCGTGTACTTCGTTTTCATACTCATCTTTCTTTAAAATTTTTAAAAGCTGATATTCTAACCTTCTGTATATTCCCATTTTATTATTTTGGTGAGCTAGGTTAATCTTTTGAAAGCTTTAGTTTTATTACTTTGAGCATTGGCCATCTTCTATAGGGATTACCTTGAACTGTTGAAAATGGCTCTGCATAAACAAATGTGTGACTCGATTTCTTTATTCTGTGTCAACTCATTTATTTATTTTTATTTTAAAAATTAATAAAATTAGATTTTTCTTGAAAAATTTCTCCCAAACATTTAATTCCGTTGTCCTGAAATTAACGTTTGACATTGGCCGAAACAACTGAAAACAGAAAATTTATTTTGTCCAGAAAAAAAGTCAAAAGCAAATTGGCCAATCCTTAATGTGAATTATAGCTTCTTTATTTATACCTTGGTAATAAAAACAGATATAAGGAATCTTTATTAATTAAATGAAAATTGCCATGAATTGAAGCGGACGTAAACTGCAGATTAAGCACATTCTAAAAAGGGTTTTTAAATATCTTCTTGAGGAATTTGTTATCTTAACCAAATAAAGAAGATTATAAACTGTTTGTAAAATAAATGCTGTGAGTTTAAGAAAATAAGTTAATGATGTACGAGCTAATAAATGATGTATGAATATGACTTCTGCTCCTAATTAGGTTGTACAACACTGCAAGAGTCTATTATGCCCATTGTAACAAGAACAAGCAAGATGATCTTCAAAATTACAGTATTTTTTTTAACCCAGCAGAAATGGATAACAAAAGAAACCTAAATGAACCAAATTACAGAAAGGGACGAGTCCTTCACAAGAGAAAAGAAATTCATGACTTCCTTTATCCCTTACAGAATAAGACAAGAATTCACTATAGATGAGGAGTAAAGACAAACCAGCTGAGCATTTAACAAGCTTTTAAGGGCTATATTTAGGCTAGTGTGATGGATAAAAATCACAAAGAGTCCCAGTTACAAAGTGGGTCTGCATCACCCACAAACTCTTTTTTGTAGACTGCTGTTCAGTGCACAGAACTATCACACCAACAATTGTAGGAAGGCAGGAGATCTGAGCAAGATCCTTAAAAAGCATTCTGAGGCTTCTCTAATGGCCAGCCAGTGCCCACTGAAGAGTGGGTGTGAGACGGAGTTCCTGAGACAAATCCCTTTAAGACTTTTACCATATGGAAAGCATTATCAGCCAGGTGTTCAATGTGGAAAGGCATAAAGATGGAATAAATGTCACCAAGCTATTGGGATGGTAAGAGGTCTGCCCAATTGAGTGAAATACAGAGGGCCCTTAGAATCTGAGAGAGATATTCTGATATAAATAAGTCTGAAGGCAGGACTAGAGAGAAAAAAGAACCATTCAGTGACCCAAAAGCTGGAATCCAGTCTCTAGAACAACAAAGATTTCTTGAGTCTCACCAAGGCTCAATCCCAAGCTGTGCTAAAGAGTTACAATCCTGCTCTCAAAATATTTGAGGCCAGCAGTTAACTGAATCTAAGTAAATCTGTAGATGTACAGATTAATTTGACTCAGCTCCTGAGTGTAGTTGTCAAATTAAAGAATATGCCTTAGACTAGGAGTAAATATTATTTGCTTCAGTTTTTAATGCAATGTTCAGCATATAATAAAAAATTACAGGAAACATGTAGAAGGAATAAAAGGTAACTAATGGCGAAGAAACGAGACAGTCAACAGAAGCAGACATGGAAGTGTCCTAGATGTTGAAATGATCAGATAAAAACATTAAAATAATTATGATAAATATCTTATAGAATCTATTGTAAAAGTTGAGCAATGTGTAAAAAGATGGAAATTTCATCAGAGCAATGAAAATTATAATAAAAACAAAAGAAAATTCTAGAATATGCAATATCAGTTTTTTAAAAAAATTATATGGACTTCATTATAGAAACAGTGTAGAAGACAAAGAATCAGTGAAGCTGAAGACAGTCAAAATAAATTATTTTCAGTCAAACTGAAAAAGATAGGAAAAATTTAGAATCTAGGTAAAGCCAAAAATAATTCAGTTTGTCTACATATTAATTTGGCTCAGTTCTGATCCAAGTTCTGTAAAATAATATTAAATGATCTAATGCACAGGTAATTGAATTTCTTAAGTAAAGATGAGAGATAACGAAACAGAAAACTATTTGAAGAAATAATGGTAACCCCCAAGCAAAATAAATACAAAAATATTATACCTATGTGCATCATAGTTAAACTATTGACAATCAAAAACAAAATCTTAAAAGTAACTGTGGAGGGAGAAGGAAGGTACATTGAAGAAAGCACATTCCATACAAGAAAACTATAAGAGTGATATCTGACTACTCATCAGAAATAGAGTTCAGAAGAAAATTGAATACAAAAATATATACTATATGAATACATTTACATGAAATGCAAGAGGAAATAAAACTAATGTATTTTTATAAAATTAGGAAGTAGTTGCTTCTGAAGTGAGAATTGACTAGAATGGAGCATGAGGGAATTTGCAGTGGTGATAGAAACTTTCTTTAACTTGTTTTGAGTGTTGGTTACATGGGGATATACAATTGTCAAAAGTCATCAAACTCTGATTAGTGTATTTTTAAGTGTAAATTACATTTCTATAAAATTTTTAAAAGCCAACAGAAAGATAAATATATTTAAGTAAAACATTAGTGATTGTGTGCTCTAGAGTTAAATTAAGCACTGAAGAATAGCAAGAGACAGCATGTAATACTCCCCCGAATCACAGGCACATTACTTGATCAACACTTTTTCTCTTACACTGAATCAGTGCTCAAGATAGGGGTTAGTCTCCTCAGCAAGCTTTTTTTTTTTTAAGAAAACAAACTTTCTTATGCTGTTTACAAACATGCCTATTCAAAATACAGAGGAACCAATTGCTATCTCAAATCTCATAATAATCAAATCATGGTGAAAATATAAAAGGTATAACTTTATAAAATATATAATACTTAAAAACCTGAACTAGTTCTTAGCATAATTATATTTTGTTGTGATGAATACCTTTATATATATGAATATTATATATATCAATATTATATGCACATGCCGAGTAGATTTAATTTGATGTTCTGCAAAAATAATGCTAGAGATCATGATTAAATTAACATTAGAATAACTAATATAGCTCCAGTGAATCACTTCAAACTCTTTGAAAGGTTAACTCTGTCATATTTTAATTAAAAAATACCCTTAATTAGAAATCCTCTTGTTATTGACCATGTACATTAAAGGGCTGAGCATTTCTTATTTAATGAAAATAAGCAGACAAAGTAACCTCATTCCAGACAATGAAAAGGATTGCTTTAAATGATCATTTGGGCAGGTTTAAAACTGATTTATTTTATAAAGGTCCAATCATTATGGGGTCAAGCTCTCAGGATGGTAAGTACTTTAGAAAATTGAAAACAATTAGGAATCATAAGGTTGGGGCAAAGATGATTTAGGACAAGGATGCTTTAAACTATTTGATGCAGAGAAAGAAAGGGACCAATGCATTTATCATTAAAATATGACCACAGATTTACTTAAAGCCATTTACTTCTAACACATTTTGAAGGGTAAAATATTTCCATAGAGTAAGTTCTTCATGTGTCCTGAAGGTTTTTGTTTGTTTTGTTTTCTATTAAAACATGTATACAAACAAACTAAATTTATTCAGTCCTGAAAAAGCCAAATGAATTGAAAACTCAAGGTTTATTTTACTTCTCTAGTTTCCTTTCTTTCTTTCTTTTTCTTTCTTTCTTTCTCTTTCTTTCTTTCCTTTCTTTTCTTTGTTTCTTTTTCTCTTTCTTTTCTCTTTCTTTTCTTTTTCTTTCTTTCTTTCTCTTTCTTTCTTTCTTTCTTTCTTTCTTTCTTTCTTTCTTTCTTTCTTTCTTTCTTTCTTTCTTTCTTTCTTTCCTGCAAAATAACAAAGAGGTAAATGAGGCTAGATTCAATTTGCAAAAACTTTATAAGGTGGCTCATTATAAGGTAGCTGTTTTCATTGCTTTAGAATTTTCCTGGAACAGAATTGACTTTTGATTTGAGGCCTTTGTGTTCTGTTGCTATAAGTCTTTACATTGCTTGCTTCTGCTTCTGGTAATGTCACAGATACTAAAGGAAAATGACGTGTAATTTCTATAACTCATTTTTCCATCTAGATGTGAAAGTGTAGAATAATAACAAACCATTACTCATCAGTGCACACGTGAGTGTGCGTGTGTGTGTGTGTGTGTGTGTTTTGCCCTTGGGATCACAGTTTACATTTATCACTTTATAGTTATACATAATTAATATATGTCTTCTAATTGATAGCTAATAAGAATTATGAAATTCAAACTCCAAAACACTGATATGAAAACTGTAAAATCCTAATGAAAATTTATGAACCGGGGTTGTTTATAAAAGTGCTTACCTGTGTTTTCTGTTGCATTTACTTTTTGAAAGAAAAATTCCACATAGAAATCTAATATAACCCCTCCAAGAATTTCATGTTGACTTCAACTTCAGAAGGAAGCAACCTTCTGTTTTTACTGGTATGGCAGTAAAAAACACAAAAAAGTTTTATTTCATTTTGTTACTTAGTGTTTGGTTAATGTCAGAGTTCATTCAGAAGGAGTTATTACAATATAATGGTTTTTGTTTTGTTTTATTTTGTTTTACATGTAGGAGATTGATGTGTCTATCTAAATTAAACTTACCCCACAAGTAAGAGTTAGGCATTAATGCTAGTGGGAATATTAATTTATATATATTTTAAGATGAGAAATAGAAAGGAGGAGATGCTACATTGCTGAAACCACTGATGGTTTCTTATATGCAACATCACACTAAATAAAAGTCTGCTCTGCTGTGTGGGAATTACTTTTAGGAGTAGATCGTGCTCAATTCTTTCATATGGGATTGCAAATATGATAGAAAATATATTAAATCCCATTGCTTATGCTTACAGATACTCATTTCAAAGAACTGCCAACTCTTCTCCACTGTGCAGCAAAATTTGGCTTAAAGAACTTTGCTGTTCATTTGCTTCAATGTTCAGGAGCAACCTGGGCTTCTAAAATGAAAAATTTGGAGGGTTCAGATCCAGCACATGTTGCTGAAAGACATGGGCACAAAGAACTCAAGAAAATCTTTGAAGATTTTTCAGTAAGTGGTTTTTTTTTCATCTATTCTCTAAAACTATTTTTATAAAATGATCCCGTGTATGTGTGTGTGCACCCACATTGCTCTTTTTAAAATGATGCTACTGAGCAGCTAGTTGGTGGTGTCTGTTGGTCCTGAGTCATTCATTGTCCTAAAAAGCATTTTGCAAGATTTGTCAACTTGTTTTAATATTGCCATAAACCAGTTCTAACTCCACACTCCCATCACTAAATAGCCTATTTTGAAACTTATCTGGTCTTTCTAGCCTCTATATAGCCTGTTCTATATTGGAGAGGATTTGATGAGGAGGAAATAAAAAGATTTTAGCTTTATTCTTTTGTTCAAAAGTCTAAGCAAGACACTATTAGGCACATAAAGTGATATCAATAATTATTATATTATAGGAATATATTCTTATAATCATTCAAAAGTCTACTCAATAAAAAGTTAATTCATGTTGCTTAAATTTTTTCTCACATGTGATTTCTTTTCTCTCTCTGTTGTCCCAGTTACTTATTAGATGAGTTGAAACCCCAAATTTAAGAAGACTCTTTGAAGGATATTAGTTTTGTAAGAATGTAACCAGGGAAGATTTTGAAGGAAGGTATACTACCTTAGTACACAAAAACACTTTGTGTTTCCATAATTACGTTTCGAAAAGCAACAATTTCCTGTTTATAACAAAGGTATGAATATTTTGCTCAAAAAAGTGAATTATACTTCTGATGACTCTTACAAAAATAGAAATAAAAAATGATTGTGTCGGTGAATATGTCAAAATCTGTCTTTGACTTTTCAGAAGATAAATAATTTTATTGCCTATGAATAGTTAATATAGAACATTAAAATGCTATAAATAGCTTCTGGTCATTTTAGCATTTATTCTAATTATTAGATTAAGTCAATGTAATATTAGACTTCTAAAAAGCATTTGTGATTTCCAGAAAGCAAATGTCAACCAATATAACCCCTCCAACTTTTAAAAAATAGCAAAATAGGTATCAGAAAAGCATGGATATCATCCATCTGGAATTGTAATAGGTATTTTTTGCCTTAAAAATAAATACAGAATATGAAGTTTTGTAATAAAACTAATAATCGACTAGTTTCTATTCTATGTCCTTCGAATCAGGTATACACATTATTTTTATTTCTAGGAAAAAATTAGACAGCAATTCTTACATATCTAATGAGTATATTCATTTTAGTAATTAGTCACAGTTTGTCGTCACTGATCAGTGCAACATGGCAACCATGAATGATATCTGTCTCAGGTAAGTCAGTGAGTCAATATACCTTTCAGACTTGCCCACAATACTGTTATTCTATACATCCTCAATTCTCTACAACTCTATTCTTGAATTTTTAACCACTGGTGAACTTATGCTAAAATTTCCAGTAAAAGTCTTCAGCATCCAGTTTTACTTTCTAAGATAAATCCTGATTTTCAGAGTGATACTTCCACTTCTGGTTCTCTAGTGAAGACTCAGCTTATAATAGATGCAGCCCCATGCAAACTACACATGCTCCATAAATAACACAATAATAGATAATAATGACAGTAGATATGACAGTAAGTACCAGTGTAGGATTTGATAGATGTGGGAAATAATTATTTTTTCTCTCACACCCTATTGGTAATTATACCTCTGCTTCTGCAATAATAGCACTGATACAATTTATTACTATCATTGTCTTTGGGCGACCATTCTAATTTTGCAGAGTTATGCTTGATAATTATTCTATGAAATTTGTTATTTTACATATATTCGACATCTTTGTGAGCGATTATATTTTGTCGGAATGTGTATGGTAGACATTGCCATTATAGGTAAGATAGATCAATTATTTTGTGAATGCTCTGTTGTCAGCAAGAAAGTGACAATAGCTGTTGCAAGGGACAGCAGCTTTATAAGGGCATTTTATAAGGGATAATTTTAGGTACGATAATTCTACAAGCTACCAAAGGCCTTTTGCAAAGGCCTTGTGTGGTTAAGGAAATAGAAACGTATGTGTTAGGTTGTAACACACATGGAAGAATGTTTCCTGCTGGTTTATTCTTCTAATTATCAAATTTATTTAAAATAAATTCAAAAGTCATATCTTTTTAGTGAAAGTATGCCAGATAATCACATGTTAAAATAGTTTATTTCTTTAATAACATTTATGTAGCTTTAATATTGTATTCACATTCTGATAAATCTAAGATTATCATATATGTATTCAAATTTTCCACAAACTATTATTTCAGAATTGTTGAAAGAAGTAGATATTTTTCATGTTTGAAGTTTATAATCCACCAATGGACCATACTTCTGTACTAAATAAATATATATTTTTAAACTCAAACATATTTTGCCCCCAACTGATTTAAAGATTTGCTCAATTCTTCCTAATCTCCTAATCAGTGAGACATTGTTCATTTTAGGATCTCACAGGGAGTTACACCACAGTGAATTTTGTCATTACCTAATAAAGTGGATCGAAGGAAAAAGCCGCTCATGATTTTTAAAAATACATAATCATTTAGCAAGCATTTATAAATAAATAAGTGCTATCTATATCTTAGTGTTAACTACATGAAGAAGGAGGAAGAAGAGAAGAAGGAGCCTCAAATCACATTTCTTACATTTCTTCACAACTTTTTCCCTTGAGAGAATATTAATTTATATATAATCTACGAATAAAGCCTCTTCATTGTGAATGAGTAACTTTCATGTTTTGATAAAATTATCTAATTACCACCAACACTTCTTTCATGTTTTTTTTTTTTTTAGTACTGCTAAAGATAATAAAACCACATATTTCTACAATCCATAAAATCTTTTAAATAAACTCAATTTTTAGTTTCTGACAATGTCTCCTGGAAGAATTCATATGAAAAGTGGCTGGACAAAGAGCAAAAGGATTGCTATTTAAATCTATCATTGTGAACCACAATTTGCTTGATAGAATTCTTGAAGAAATCTCAGACTATTTCAAATAACAAATAGCAATATTGATAATTACTTTAGTCCTATCTATAACAACTTATCTTTTTAATCAAAAATACCTGAAATGTTGAAAAAAAACTGGAACTTGGCTACAGATTAAGAGATATTTTGTAATTTAAGATAAAATATACAATGAAAATTAGAACGTTTTAATAATTTAAGATAAAGTGTATGACAAAAATCAGAATGCGTGTTGTATTATCTTGAACACGTCACTCCATCCATCTCCATCAGTTTAGAACACGTAAGAAAATGATCACATCAATGTGTCAGTAGACAGAAAAAAACATAGTTCTCTGTTGCGTCCCTATGGTATTGCAGAACCAACACATGTTTACCTATCTTAGGAACAATGTCCAGATGGTATCTTTTTTCTTCCACCACAGTGTTCACTCATGTAGTTTGGTGTATATTTTAGTAAGATCTTAGTCATAAATAACCTTCAGTTGAATTTAAGAAGTGGGAAATTAGCCTTCCATGTACTTTCTCTAGCTGGCTTTTTAGGAGGACTCCTGACTGAGACTATTTCTATTACTTGTTGGTGATGGGAATCCTGTGACATCTTGCTCTCATTGCCTATGGACGGTGGGCTGTGTGTGTGTGTGTGTGTGTGTGTGTGTGTGTGTGTGTGTGTGTGTGTGTGTGTGTAGCCGATAGACAATGGCTGTGATCTTTTTCAAATGGTCAAAGTTTGGAATAAAGGTACGGAGGGGTAGATGTTGATGCACTTAGAGTATCCCTAACATAAAGCAATGATTGACTGGTGTAGAGAACCAATTATTCAAGAGACAGGCCTTATGTTTAGGCCAATGAAAATTCATTCATATTAGCCCTTTATTTCTCTTATTCTTAGCATTGTTCATTTGGTACTTTATGTATTGTTTTGTTCTCTAGTGGACTGTTCCATTTCATTTAGTATATATTATTATATACTACTTGAATCTAAATGGCATCATACCCTGCTTTGCCTGTGTAGTTTTTCTTTCTTATAAGCCTAGAAGCTCATCATGGATAACGGGTTCCCCACCCTCCCACCATCAGGTATAGATGAGGTGCTCAGAATGTATTTACTCATTGATAAGGCAGAAAGCAACTGTCAAATTTAAGGACTTGTTTGATCTCACTTACCCAATAATATCCTTAACTAGGTCTCATATTTTAAATAAAATAATTGGTCTTATTCTCTCTATAGTTAAGATTTTTTTTAAGTTTAGTTTTAGAGAATTCATACACAAATAGTCCAACTGCTGTCTGTCTTCAGCATATATTTTTAATAGGCCAGCCTACAATGAATTTCAGTTGTTTGGCTTTTGTTCAATATTTATATTCTGTTAGAACTGAAGAAACTGGAACAAATCACATAACTGCACTTGACTGCATGCATTACAAATTCATATCTCAGTTATGCTTTTGGAGCTACTTAGCAATCTCTTCCTAAAATCCGTTAAATGTACCATAGCTGCAATTACAGAATTTTACCCTTCCCCGAGTTCTCAAACCCAGTTTTGATACCTTAACTCTGCAGCTCTAAACATTCTATTAAACTCCTTTAACTCCACACTCTTCGTTGTTAAATGTTCCATTTTCCTCTACTCACAGGGCCTTGGGATTCAGCCATATCTGGATCTGAATCTTAATTTCATCGAATACCAAGTTTGCCTCCTTGGGCACCTCTTTGTTTTCTCTCATCTTTAGTTTTTTATCTGCAAATTGGAAAAAGTAGTTCCTTACAGGGTGCTTTTAGGATGTGATAAAATAAATGTGAAAATATTAAATATATAGCAGATTCATAATAAATGATATTGCATTCACCTTATTTTCTTTTGATTTATTGTTATTCATATGAACTTTAGAACTCACCATCAGTCATACCCTCAATTTCTTTTGCATCATTAATCTCTCCCATTAAATGGGCTCTTCTCTGAAAAAACATGTTCAAATACATCACACACACACACACACACACACACACACACACACACTCCCAACAACCCTGCTTTCTCTTCAATC